ATTATATTAATTATAATAATAATAATAGTAATTATAATAATATAATATAATAATAATATAATAAAATTCAAACAGATCACACCATGGAATACAACAAACCAGATATCGTAGTTCAAGATAAAATGAAGCAAGTTACCTGCATAATTGACATTAGTGTGCCTGCCCCACATAACATAGCTGAGAAGCAGACAGAAAAGGTTCGCAAGTACTTACCACTAGCTGCAGAAGTAAAAACACTGTGGAATCAAGAAAAAGTTGAAGTCATCCCAATAGTGATCGGAGCCACAGGAGAAATACCTAAGAGTCTACATATATGATAGAAACTAAATCTGCCGCAGAAACTATACCTCTCACTTCAGAAAGCTGCTATCTTAGGTAGTTGTCATATAGCACGCAAGGTCCTGAATGTAGCCACATAGACAAAGAGAAACCAATAGTCACACTCAGACGCTTGCAGTATAATGCCGCGTTTGAGGATACCACCTGCAGTAGCAGAGAATAGCTAACAGAAAACGGAATAATAATAATAATAATAATAACGTAGTAGCAGAGAATAGCTAACAGAAAACGGAATAATAATAATGATAATAATAATAATATATTAATAATAATAATAATAATAATTATAATAATAATAACAATCATTATAATAGTAAGAGGAATAACTGTAATAATTATAATAATAATAGAAATTATAATAATAATAATAATAATAATAATAATAATAATAATTGTAATAATAATTATTATTATAATAGTAATGATAATATTAATAATAATAATAATAGTAATTATAATTATAATAATAATAATATTATATCATATCATCATATCATTTATTCACCACTTTATATACATATATTGTACATGTGAGGTCCTAAACACTATTTTACATTAATAAGGTATTCCATATATTCAGTGACACTATAAAAACACATTCCTGTAACAATTTCTTTGTAAAACGCGAGAAACGTGATGTTGACATGCAATTTATGTTAAATTATCTGTAGGCTTTAACAAGCAGGTTATACATATTTACATCGCGTCTGTTGGTTTGAGTCATCATCAAACGTGAATATTGATTTTTAAACGTGTCCGCTGATCTCAAGCGGTAGGTACTACTGGGGGTTGAGTATTTAAGATTAGCGTGAATGTATCGCAATGACTCGTAGATATAGATTGACGCTAAATGCAGTATCCGACTATTCTTAAATAGGTCTCTACAAGTAGCTCGAAATTTGGAATTCGTTAATATCCTTATTGCCGACTTCTGTAATACGAATATTTTGTTTGCAGTAACCGAGTTACCCCAAAGAACAGTACCATAGGACAGGTGACTGTGAAAAATGCTATAATATACAACCCTCAGTGTATGTCCACTAAGACATCGGCTAAGTAGTCTGAGTATGTACACCTGAGTGGAGAGATTGGAACAGAGGTAGTCAATATGTGAGGCCCAATTAAGTCTGGTATCTAAAACCATCCCCAATAGCTTCACTGGTGCCGACTTCGATACCCACCTATTAGATGAAAAAGTGATATGGTGGGTTTTGCTTTCATTAAGAGATAATTTATTAGCAAGGAACCAACCTTTAGCCTGTTCCAAGCTTTCCACAACAGAACACAGATCTGAACGGGCGAGCAGTGTAGTATCGTCAGCGAACAGAATGCATGAGCCGTTGACAATATTCTGAGGCAGATCGTTGATGTAAATAAGAAACAGTAATGGGCCTAGCACAGAGCCCTGAGGTACACCATTTCTTATCTCCAGCACTCCAGAGTTAATGCCGTCGATACTATTTGTGAGATAGGATTGGAAAAGGGCTAGCTCATTACCTCTCATACCGTAGAATTCAAGTTTTTGAAGAAGTATCTGCGTATTAACGCAGTCAAACGCTTTTGATAAATCGCAAATGGCAGCCATAGTACCTATGTGGTTGTCAATATTGTCCAATAATTCATCAAGCAAGTGAAGTAATGCTGTGATGGTTGTGGAGTTTTTCCGAAATCCAAATTGAGAGACAGAAAGTAGGTATTGATTTTTTTTCACAATAAGAGGTGAGCTTTTGTTTCAACAGGATCTCAAAAATTTTTACAATAATAGGGATGATTGCAATTGGCCTATAATTGTCAGGGGAGTCCCTATCTCCTTTTTTGAAGACTGGTATTACTTTCGATATTTTTAAAGCGTCTGGCCAAACACCCTCCTGTATACATTTACTGTACAGAACAGATAGCGGTTCGGTTAAAATATCGACACAACTCTTCAAGATAGCGCTGTTTAGGCCGTAATGATCCAAAGAATATGAATCTTTTAGGAGTAAGATTGCCTTCCTGACATCTTGAGGAAGTATTGGACTAATAAAAAATGAGAAATGTGGCTTGGTTACATTTTTTAAGTAATTCTCTGCACCATAATTACATACAGGCAATTAATTTAGTATTTTGCTAGCTACAGATGTGAAGATGTTCAACTCTTCAGAATTCAAATTAGTTTTAGTAGATGTTTTGTTTTTATTCTCGGCATTGACAACTTTCCAAATAGATTTATTTCTATTATGTGAGTTTTCAATTATGTTTGCGTAAAAATTCCTGTTTTCCTCCTTAATAGTTTTCCTATAAGTGTTCCGACTCAGTTTGAAGTCTTCCCAGATCTTAACGTCTCTAGTAGCATTAAATGTTGTTTTAAGCTCAATCATATTATTTCGCATCTGACGCAGCTTGTCGTTATACCAGTTAACTGGAGAAGTTCTTTTTTGAATTTTTTTGTGGAAAACAGTCCTCTACAAAAATGTTTATTTGATGAAGAAACGCATCCACTGCGTCAGTAGCGGAAGAATGTGAAAGGATGCGCAGAGGCGATTTACATACGTGGTTAACAAAGGACAAAATACGATCATTAGATAGAATACGCCTTAGCTCAGATGGTGCCCCAGAAGTAAAATTCTGAGCGTCGTACATTACCGTGTACACCCCTTTGTGGTCAGACATGCCCGGATCACAGGTACCACATGCCATCGTGTCTGGATCAATATTTGTAAGGACATTGTCCAGGCAAGATCGCTTAGTTTCCGTAATTCTCGTCATGTATGTGATACAGTGGCGGAACCCAAATGTGTTTAGCATACATCGTAACTCCTTGGTATCAGAAGTTTCCAGACTTACATCTATATTAATGTCTATAATAAAGTTCTTATACCTATTAACAAGCATATGTAACATTGTATCGAGGGATTCAATAAAAACTGTAACATCTCCAGTTGTAGATGACCTATAAGCAGTGACAATTATACTATTCCCTATAGCTATTCCACAAAGCTCAGCATGAAAAGGTTGAACAAATGCAGTTAGATCAACCTGCTTCGCAAGTATACCATTACGGGTGAGAATCGCAACACCCCCATGCTGTCTATTCTGGCGGCAGTATGAGGACGCAAGTGAGAAATTGTTAATTTTAGTTGCAACCAGCTGTTCATGCTTTAGCCAGTGTTCTGATATGCAAAGGAAGTCGCATATTTGGTTCTGTAAGAAGATATTTTTAGTTCATCTATCTTATTAGCTAGACCTTGGATATTTAAGTGAACAATCGAGTATTTTGCACTACACTGAACAACACTACTTGGAGGCTGATTCTCTGGTGTTGCTGTGGTTGGCTTGATGAAAGAAGCGATTAATTATTGCCCCAGAAGGACATATGCCTCTGAGAATTACACCTGCCTCGTACTCAGCTACAATCACCTTAAATGAGGAATAGTGTGTAGGGTGTTTTACACTTAATGGTTCTACCAAAGCTGATGGTGCGTAGTGCTTTATATAGTTGGAAAGCTCAGCAACACTTGTATTGGGGTCCATTCTAGACAAATGGTAGGTTCTGTTTCGCACTGGTGGGTTAGAAGCTTTAAAGGGACAGCCTGAGTCTGATGCACTGCCAACCAGTAGACTCTTCCTGCAAATCCTCCAGCGCTCGGAGCGTTGCATCTGAAAGTCGTCGTGCTCCTGTGTAGGGGCTTCCTGAGCCTTGTTCTCAACCCTTGCACCATTATCCCGGGAGCCAAGTAAAACTGGTGGTACCGCCGGCAGAGAGTTTGCTGTCAGCTGGAGTAAATTGGACATAACCTGTGCTTGACAGGACTGTCGGTTCTATTTTACGGGACGATGCAGAATGCACTGTTGCTGCAGTGTACGAATTGGTAGGTAGGACGAACTGTTTGACGAACAATAACTGATCCTTGAGTGCTGCTATGATGGTATTTTGTTGTTGGATTAAAACATTTTGTTGCTGAATGGTAAAGGATTGTTGTTCGATCAAGACGTCTTTGTTGTTAATTATATGTTGTATAACGGGGAGGTTTCCATCTCCTGGATTAGGTGCGAGGGTGTTATCTGTGACATTCATGGTATTACTCATGGTGGCAGCAGGTGTGGGACTGTTTAGTTTTGGTGCGTGAGGTGCACAACAGATGCAGGTATTGCTATCAATTATCTCAATTGGATGACGATTTTTAATCAAAAGGTCCAAACAACTTTTGTGAGATATCTTTCCACACTTAGAACACTGGACACCTTTAGATTTTACCTCGTTTGAGCGTCTAATACATCCGGAGCTAGTATTGTCCTCCATAGCTGTCAGACATAAGGAGTTATATCAGGACGTATAACGTAAACAAACACCACACTGGACGGCTAATTTCAAATCTAGCTGCAATACTGGTATATATTGTCAGGATATAATGCACAACAACTCAACAGAGCTATCAACAACACATATCCTGACGAAGGATTCAATATTGAACACTATTTACTGTTATTTACACGTAACAAGACAGAGCACTGGAAAATACGTCTACCGCGAACGGCGCCATGACGCACACATAATAATAATAATAATTATAATAATGATAATAATAATAATAATAATAATTATAATAATAATAATAATTATAATAATAATAATAATAATAATTATAATAATAATATATATATATAGTAATTTTGTTTAGCCTTAAACCCCCTCTCGACGCTACTCGACAACAGCAACGTGGGATTCAGAATTAAGAAGAATAGTGCAGTCAGAATTAACCATATGTTTTACATGAATGACATGAAACTTCTCGCAGAATCAAAGCAGCAGCTAACTTCGTTGATTACCACCGTTAAATTGTTTAGTAACAGCATATGCATGGAATTCGGTTTAGAAAGGTGCGCAACTGTTAATGCCAGCAAAGGACGCATCATTAATATGGGCGAGATAATAAATGACATCGAGGAATTTGATGAAGGCGATTCGTATAAATACTTAGAGCTCAAACAGCAACTGGGACTAAAACACAGCGAAATCAAAAAGGACTTAACGGAAAAATATAGAAAACGCCTTGTAAAACTGCTAAACACCAAGCTGAATTCCAAAAATATAATATCAGCCATTAATGCATGGGCAGTCCCAGCCCTAATTTATTCTTTTGGTGTCGTTAAATGGAGCAACACCGATCTGGAAGAACTAGACAGGCTAACAAGGAGGTCCATGACAAAGTTTCGTATGCTTCATCCTAACTCTGCTGTGGAGCGGCTCTACCTGCCCCGCAATGAAGGCGGCAGAGGACTAATCAACGTATCCCAGATGTGCAACACACAAATCATGCATCTTCGGGAGTATTTCTTAAACCAAAATAGCGCTCTAGTACAACTAATCAAAGAGGCAGATTGCAACGCAACTCCCCTGTATATGTCACAGTTGCAACAGCCATCCAGATGCAATGCAACAAGAGAAAGGTTGCAATCTTGGAAGAACAAACAATTGCATGGCAGGTATCCGTCTCAAGTGGAGAAAGTTGGTATTGACAAAAAAACATCGTTCTCGTTTTCCAGCGTGGCTTCTTACACCCAGAGACTGAAGGGTTTATCTGTGCTATACAGGATAAGGTTATCCGCACACGAAATTATGACAAGCATATATTGAAGAACCCTATCACTGATAAGTGCCGTAAGTGCGATACAGTAGGCGAAACAATCGAACATGTCACAGGAGCATGCCCTAACGTGGCCAAAGATGCATACTTAGGCAGACACAACAAAGTAGCCGCAATAATACACCAGCTAATCGCACACAAAGAAGGTCTAATAAAAGCAAAGGTGCCTTACTACAAATATCACCCTGTGTCCGTTCTAGAAAATCAGAACCTATTGATGTATTGGGACCGCCCAATAACCACTGATAGGCGCATAGAGCATAATCGACCTGATTTAATCCTTATAGACAAACAGAAACAAATGGGAATCGTAATCGATATTGCGGTTCCACTTACGCATAATCTCAAGTCCGTGAAAACTGAGAAATGCTCCAAATATCAAGACCTCAAAATAGAATTAGCACGGATGTGGAGGTTAAAAGAAGTAATGATTATTCCCATCATCATATCAGTGGAAGGGGTGGCCAGGAACGCCTTGTCGGAGAATTTGAAAGTCTTGAACCTTCCAAAGGGTACATGTATACAACTGAAGAAGGCAGTGATCCTCGACACTTGGCGGATTACATTAAGTTTTTATCGATATAGGAAATTGAGGGCGGGTCATGATGAATTTCATTCCCACCCAGAGCCACCATCTATAAACATCATTCGAGGTGGCCCAGATACTACCAGCTTAAGCTGTGAAAACTCAGGAAAATAATAATAATAATAATAGTAATTATAATAATAATAATAATAATAATTATAATAATAATGATACTAATAATAATAATAATATTAATAATAATAATAATAATGATAATAATAATAATTATAATAATAATAATAGTTATAATAATAATAGTAATTATAATAATAATAATAATTATAATAGTAATTTTAATAATAATAATAATAATATTAATAATAATAATAATAATTATAGTAATAATGATTATAATAATAATAGTAATTATAATAATAATAATAATAATAATTATAATAATAATAATAATTATAATTATAATAATAATAATAATAATAATAATAATAATAATAATAAAGGGGTCTGGCCGGTAAGGGGACTGCCGCCAGCAGTTTCAAACCCGCTACCGTAACGACGTAGACGGTACAGCAGCAACGCAACGTCTGGCCTCGACCAAGTGGTTGAGCTACTGTTATTAACACCGAAGGAAAGTCAGTACGGCCAGCACACCTCCTGTTCATCCAGGCGTGGTTTTTGTCTCTCTTCCACGCCTGAGTTTAAACACTTTTAGGTAAACAATTATACCTACCTATCAAAAGAGAACACAATTACCCAGAAATGGAGAAAAAACAAAATGAAGCCTCGGAATGTAACGACGTAATCGGGACTCGACGCTATGCGACGAGGTCCGCGTCCGGCAGGGAGCGTAGGGGAAGGTCGCACCCGGTCGTAATCCAGCGAAAGCCCCCCACAGATAGTGTGAGAAGTAACTCGAATGACCTCATCCAACAGCTTCCTGGGGTCGAAGATGGCAATCATGTTGCTGGAAGCCAAGAGCCCCAGCCCATAATGCCAGACAATAGGAGGAGAAAAAGAACCACGTGGACCACTGAAATGAACAGATTTGTGGTTCGCTCCTACTACAGAATAACTAAACTAGAAACATCTACAGAGCCCTATGGTACTGAACTACACAAACAAGTTATCATGAACTTCCCTCACCTGCAAGGCAAAACGGTGCAAAACGTACTAGACCAGCGCCGATCCGTATTCATAAACAACAGATTGCCGGCAGAGGAGATAAACAAAATAAGAGAAGAGATATCCATAGAATTAGGAATGCAGGTACAAGCTCCGCAAGAGCACACAGAAAACCAAGAACAAATTGAGATAAACGATGGCCAACCCTCTAAATACGCAGATGAGTTCAGGGGCTTGTTCATGAAGTATGATGGTGTGGAACCAACTCTTAAACCAAGCCTACCAAAGCTAATAATAAAACCCCATACATCTGAGTATATCGCTGAAGTTAACAAAGTAATAGATAACGAGATTACAGAAGATACAACCTTGACTGAGCTCCATAGCCTGTTGTATATTGGAGCACTTACAGTCCTAAAATTAAATGAACAGAGAGTTGGCGAACAATGTGTAAGGAAAAACAGAAAACTGCCAGCCTGGGAGATGAGGATATCGCGTAATATAGAGGAGATTAGAAAGGACATAGCAATACTCACCCAGTACCGCAGGTCTGAATGTAGTCTGAGAGTAAAGAGATCCGCAGAGAATGTGATAAACCGTCACTGCTCGGAGGAGAACCCAACAGCTGTAGAAGTCTTGGACTACCTGAAGCAAAAACTAGCAGCTACAGCACTGCGACTTCGAAGGTACAAGAAAAGCAACGAACGCCGAAAACAAAATCGAGCATTCGAGACCAATCAGCGAGGCTTTTACAGGAACTTGCAGGCGCGACGGAGGGATACAGATCAGAACAACGTTCAGATTCCTACCTCAGATGCCATCAATACCTTCTGGTCAGGAATTTGGAGCAATCCAATCAATCATTCCACATCTAAATGGTACTGCCAAGAGAAAGCAAATAATTCAACTTTTAGGACCATGCTCGACTGGAAAGTAAGCTTAGATGACGTGGTAAATACTCTACGAAAATTACCAAACTGAAAGCCCCAGGATCAGATAAGCTTCAGAATTATTGGCTAAAAACGTTCACTTCGGCTCACGATCGACTCGCAAAGTGTTACACCTCAATCTTAGAGCAACCAGATATGTTGCCAGAGTTCTTAACAATGGGAATAACATATTTAATCCCAAAGTGCGGCGATCACTCGAACGATCCGGCAAAATACCGACCAATCACCTGTCTGCCGACTATTTACAAGGTATTGACTGCTATAATTACTGAAAAGATATATTCACACCTAGAGCGGAATACTATACTAGACGAAGAGCAAAAAGGTTGCCGAAAAGGGTCTCGAGGCTGTAAAGAGCAACTTGTTATAGACTCTGTCATAACTAATTATGCCAAAAAGAGAAAAATACCCCTGTACATTGCATACATCGATTATCAGAAAGCGTTTGACAGTATACCTCACTCTTGGCTGTTAGAGGTGCTTGACCTTTATGGGATCGAGTGCCACATCAAACAATTTCTGGCACATGCTATGCCGAATTGGAAGACACGGCTCTATCTCAACACCCAAGATACGCAATGTAGTGCCGGAGAGGTATCCATCAAGACAGGAATATTTCAAGGAGACTCTTTAAGTCCGCTATGGTTCTGCTTAGCGCTTAGACCGTTAACAACAATGCTAAATAGCCAAAAGAAAGGAATACTGTTAGGTGGCAATGAAACACGCATTTCACATATTTGGTACATGGATGACCTCAAACTTTTTGCAGAAACCAAAGAAGATCTTCATAAGCTTCTGGACTGTGTAAGTAAATTCAGCACTGACATCAAGATGCTGTTTGGCTTAGACAAGTGCAAGATCAGTTGCATGGTAAAAGGCCAATGGAGTAAACATTCAGGATATGAGCCGAACCAAGTGCAAGGGAAAATTGAAGGAATGCAGCAAGATGAACAGTATAAATACTTAGGCTATCTACAAGCGCCGGGCATAGACCAGAAAGCTGCAAAAGAAAAGGCAATGGAGCACTATAGAACACGTTTGAGGGCGGTGCTGAAAACAAGTCTGTCAGCTCGAAATACAGCACTTGCTGTCAGCACCTACGCTACTTCGGTCCTTACCTATACGTTTGGCATACTGAACTGGACGGATACAGAACTGAACGCACTTAATGTGGAACCAGAAAAGAATCCGTAAACACCGGGGACACCACCCACATAGTTCCATAGAGCGGTTCCATCTACCACGAAGTGAGGGTGGCAGAGGAATACCTTGCATACCTACACTACATCACCGCCAAGTGGACAATCTACGCCAGTACTTCCTCCAAAAGCCGCATCCAGCAGAATGCATCAAGCAATAGACAGACGGATAAAAAGTTGACACCACTAACCTTTCAGAAAAATCTTTCGACCCTGAGGCAAAGATAACCCCAATGCAGGATCTGGTTCGCCAATGGAAAGCCAAACCACTACATGGTCGGTATAGGAGCCGCCATTGACACGAAGGCTTCCCAAGGATGGTTGCAGTCAGGTAATCTGTTCCTGGAGACGGAGGGCTTCATAGCCTCCATCCAGGATCAGGTAGTCCCAACAAAGTTGTACCGAAGCGTATAATGCATGAGAACGTGACGATATCAGATGCCGCATATGTGGGAAAAAAAGATGAGCACATAGATCATATTGTAGCAGGCTGCTCCCTTAGCTCCTAAACAATATCTTGAAAAAGCACAATGATGTTTGCCAAAATACTTTATCAAGCTTTGTGCTAAAAAAGCATCTAGGAGAAACTGGTACAAACAGCCCTACTATAAATACAACGCCGCCACCTGTGATACGAAACGGAGACCTCTAGTCTTACTGGAATCGGCAAAATCATAACTGCAAGGCCCATCCCCAACAATATTCCTGACATAGTGCTCACACTAAAGAGAAAAGAAACGGACGTTTATAATAGAACATAGCTGTGCCTCTTCTTCCTACTAATAGTCCAAACCACACCCATGCGGAAAAAGATCAATAAGTATTGCCACTCTCCGACGAAATCAAACGCATGTGGGAAATGGGCAATGTGTCTGTAATACCAGTTATCATAGGAGCTACTGGAGAGATACCAAGGAAACTACACAAGAGTCTGGAAAAGCTACAGCTCCATCCAAAAATATACTTGCAGTTGCAAAGCTGCACTGCTGGGAACATGTAGGACAGTACGTAGGGTTTTAGGAGATGAGAACCGGATACGGCGAAAAACCGCTGCAGATCTATTTCCTTACTTTGGCGGTTAGCCTGAGGGAAATATTAATACCTTCGACAGAGGAGTAAATAGTATAAAATATAATAATATATTATTATATATATATAATAATAATATATAATAATAACAATAATTATAATATAATAATAGTAATGTAATAATAATAATATAATAATTATAATGTAATAATACAATAATAATATAATAATATAATAATAATAATAATAATAATTATAATAGTAATAATTAATAATTATAATAATAATAATCATAATATTAATATAATAGTATTATAATAATATAATAATAATAATAATAATAATAATAATAATAATATAATAATAATAATAATAATAATTATAATAATAATAATAATAATAATAATAATATTAATAATATATAATATAATAATAATAATAATAACTCCGGTGTGGAGTTGCTAGTCTCCCATCGGGCGCCTCCCTGTGCGAATTGGGAAACGTTCTCCAGATATGGAGGGTACCGGGAAAATAAAATACCCGGGGTGGACAAAAACTAACACCACCGCTCTATGGGTTAGCACCCCCTAGAACGTGTATATTTAAATGCTCTTAAAACGAGAAATAAGAGATACTCAGGCGGGCCGGCGCAGCAGGAGCCGGGTCGGAACCGTCTTGAAGATTTACCTGCAACCTACCGCGGCAATGAACAAGGACCAACCAGATTACCAACCCAGACGAGTACACCACCACCAAAGGTACCAAGCCAAGATGTCGGTGTTGCTGGGCCATCAGAGCCCATGCCCACCACGTCACAAGTTAGGCAAAGAACCATGTGGACAGAAGAAATCAATGCATTCATGGTTCGCTGCTATTACAGATTAACCCGACTAGAAACCGCCAAAACTCCATACAGCCGCGAAGTACATAGACTGGTAACTGAAAAATTTCCAATGCTTCGTCACAAGACTATACAAAATATCATAGACCAGCGAAGATCTATATTTATAAATAGACGCCTATCTCCAGGTATTGTTACACAAATAAAGCGCGAAGTTGCGATAGAACTATCTATAAATGTACCTGCTGATCTCCCCAATGCTGATGATGAACCAGCGGCCCCAGTACCGGAAGCCAACAGATCACCATCTGCTGCTGAGCTGGTATTCGAAAGGATTCATTTGCTTTATGATGGAATGGACCCTATGGTGAAACCTAGCCTTCCCAAAATAATTTATAATAACAAGACAAAATCTATATTGGGTGAAATCAACAAAATTCTGGATTCCAAAAATAACAACTGATATACCCATCGAAAATCTGCACAGCCTTATTTATAGTGGAGGCAGCAGCGGTGCTAACACTAAACAAGCAGAAAATCTCCACTGACACTCAAGTTAAAAATGTTCCAGTAACGCCGACATGGCAGCGCCGAATTACTAATAAAATCGATAGTATCAGGGGGGACATAGGACTTCTGACACAAAATCAAAGCTTGAACCCAGCATCTCAGTCACTAAGAAAGCCAAAGCCATTCTTGAAAGGGAAGAAAGCCTCGAAAATCCAACAGCAACAGAAATACTGGATCACCTTAAACAAAAACTCAAGGCTATGGCTAAAAAACTCCGACGGTATAAGGAAAGCAACACAAGACGTCAACACAATAGTCTTTAGCAGGAGTGAAAGGAGCTTTTATAAAAATTTAGAGTCTGAAGATCACGAGATTGAAACCCTGCAAGAAAATAAGGTCCCCACACCAGACGCCATGAAAACGTTTTGGGAAAAAACCTGGGGAAACCATGTGATTCACAACAATAATAATAGTAATAATAATAATAATAATAATAACTATAATATAATAATAATATATAATAATAGTAATAATAATAATAATAATTGTAATAATAATAATAATTATAACATAATAATAATTATAATAATAATAATAATTACAATAATTCAGATGGCTGTCTGACGAGAAGGTGTACATCTAACCTACAGACAATGTTGGAATGGGAAGTAACAACCGACCAAGTATCCAAGGCTATAAACAAGACCTTGAATTGGAAGGCACCTGGACAGGATAAAATCCAAAATTTCTGGTATAAAGAATTCAAGGTCATTCATCAACATCTAGCCAAATGTTATACTCACCTGCTGTCCAACCCTGAAGAACTACCACCATTCAGTGGTATCACTTATTTGTTACCAAAAACGAAGGTGTCCTCAGAAGAGCCATCCAAATATAGGCCGATCACCTGCCTTCCTACAATATATAAAATATTCACGTCCATCCTATCGGCAAAGATATACAGCCACCTGGAAAGAAATAACCTGTTGGACGAAGAGCAGAAGGGTTGTCGAAAAGGATCCAGAGGGTGTAAAGAACAATTAATAATAGATACGGTCATCACATCTCACGCGAAACGCTCAAAACGCTCTTTGCACACAGCGTATATAGACTATCAAAAAGCGTTTGACAGTGTTCCTCACTCCTGGCTATCCGAGGTGCTGCAGCTTTATAAAGTCGAGGCCCATGTACTGAATTTACTGAACTACGCCATGTCTCAGTGGAAAATCAGAATTGTCTTAAACACCAACCAAAAAAAGTGTAGATGCAGGTACCATTAAAATAGAAAATGAAATATTCCAAGGGGACGCATTAAGTCCGCTATGGTTCTGTCTGTCGCTGCGACCCCTGACAACTATGTTGAATAGGCAGCGCAAAGGTTATATACTGCCACACTCAGACAAGAATATTAGCCACCTTTGGTACATGGATGATTTAAAGCTGTATGCAAAGTCTAAAAAACACCTTGACGACCTTCTGACTTGCGTCACCCGATTCAGTCGCGACATAAAAATGTCATTTAGGCTGGACAAATGTAGGACCAGCGGGATGGAGAAGGGCCAGTGGGTACATCACGCGGGATATGAAGTTGCTGAGCGGCAAACCATCGCCGGAATGGAAGAGGGAGAAAGGTACAAATATCTTGGATATCTGCAAGCAAGAGGTCTAGATCATACAGCAGCAAAGCAGACAGTAAGTGACACCTACATTAAAAGAATCCGGTCGATACTGAAGACTAAGCTGTCTGCCAGGAACATGGCAAAAGCAGTTAACACCTATGCCACATCTGCAGTTTCTTATAGATTTGGAGTGATTCACTGGACAGCAACCGAACACAAAACCTCAATATCAAAACCAGAAAAAAGTTCAGCAAATTTCGAGCACATCATTCACGTTCATCATTGGAAAGGTTCCACCTGCCTAGAAAGTTGGGTGGAAGAGGTATACCTGATCTAGTTATTAACCACAACAGGCAAGTAACAAACCTTAGGAACTACTTCCTCGCCAGGGCTGCGTCCAGTGAGATTCACCACGCTATCATAAGGGCGGACAATAAGGCTACTCCTTTAAGACTGGCAGACCAAAACTTCAGGCTTAGCGTGGACCAGCTCATACCCGAGCAACAACTGCAGCAATGGAAGAATAAGGCACTTCATGGTAATACCGCACCCTACTCGAGAGCGATAAGATCGATACCTTCGCATCTACGGCCTACCTCCGCTCTGGAAACCTGTTTGCTGAGACAGAAGGGTTCATATCTGCTATCCAAGATCAGGTCATCGCAACTATGTTAAAGTATATAAAAGAAACATAATGCGGGAACGACAAGACAATATCAGATGTCGTGTGTGCGGTGAAAAGGATGAATACCTGGACCACATCATCGCTGGCTGCTCAATGTTGGCACCGAAATCCTACCTAGACAGGCACAAAAGAGTCGGAAAGATAATCCACCAAAGCCTTCGTGAAAAGTACATGGGGTTGACAGAAATAGTGCCGTACTATTTATACGAGCCGCCTGCTGTGTGCGAAGATGAACAAACCCGGCTCTACTGGAATCGAAAAATTATAACTGATAGACCGATAAGTAATAATATACCGGATATCGTGCTCACTCTAAAAAATGAAAACAAAACATACATAGTAGATTTCGCTGTGCCATTGGGAGCCAACCTAGAAAAGACACATGGACAAAAAATCAATAAATACCTACCCCTGAGCGATGAAATTCGCCAAATGTGGGACATGGAAACAGTAGTCATCATCCCCATTGTGATCGGAGCAACTGGAGAAATACCTAAAAAATTAAAAACATCACTGCAACAACTAGGATTACCGTTTGAATTATACTTACCTATGCAAAAGTCGGTCGTCTTGGACACATGCAGTGTAGTCCGTAGGGTTTTAGGCGGTAACTAGAACAAGATGTTTTTAACATCAGCATCTAACGGGCCATCTTGATTCAATACCGATGTGCCAGCGTTCTTAACCCAGGGAAGCATGTGAATCAGTTAGATGATTAACGAATAATAATTATAATAATAATTATAATAATAATAATAAGCATAATCATAATAACAATAATAATAATCAGATAATAATATAATTATAATAATATATTACAATAATTATAATAATAATAATATTAATAATAATATAATAATCATAATAATAATAATTGTAATAGTATAATTACATAATTATAATAATAATAATAATAATAATTATAATTATATAATAATAATTATAATATATTAATATTATAATATGATAATTATATAATTATAAATAATACTAATAATAATTATAATAATAATAATAATTATAATAATAATACAATAATTATATTAATATATTAATAATAGTAATAATAAGAATAGTAATAATAATAAGAATAATATAATAATAATTAAATATTATAATAACAATAATAATTTAATAATTATAATAATGATATG